CAAAAAGATTTGTACTTAGCCTTAGTTCAGATTTATCCATCTCTTGACGAATACAATTCTTTTAAACCTTCAAATAGTCAGGTAGATCAATTATATTTTAAAGGAACAATTCATAATTAAATTATTTCTATACAAAACAATATAGCAGTCATATTTTATGAACTGTTAGAGTGACAACTCAATNATAAGTTATTGAAAAGTATATTGATCAATATAATTTTTTTATGGGAAATACTATTTTTTAATAATCCCTTTCGACATACTTTATCTTAATCAGGATATTAATTAGGAACTAGCAGTTTATGAAGCTTTTGGAATAATCCACCAATTTTTTAAAAATAAACACTATCTAAAGATTTGCATCGAAGCGTTTTTTTTTGATAGTGATTTTAATCACTGTCAGATATCATTATACTTGATCCAACTATGCCACGTTACCACTGTGCCGCGACCCCCCTGTGCTGGGTTTTTTTATTTTTCATTTAATTAAATGATCAATGATAAAATAATCACTTTGTATAATGTTGCTTACTATAATTGTTTATTTTTTACACGTATGAAAATATGTAAAATTAATACATATAAAATGTCAAATAAATTATGACGTTTTCAGTTTTTTATAACGATGAATAAAAATTTAATATCATATTTACAACAAAATATTTTTAAATCTTACACCAAATATCACTTAGTCATCAGTATCAACTTGATACCAATGTAAATAATTATGAATTATTTAAAAAAAAAAGATTTTTTAATTTAAAATCTTTAAATCAAGAGTAAAACCACAAAAATTATTAATATAATTAAATTAAATATATTTACTGAAGCGAAATTATGAACTTTTACATGTAACTCGAAGAATCATTACTTTTTCATACATTAGGTATGTTTAATCCCCGATAAAAATAGGTAAACATCTTCTCTAAATTCAGCTTAAACATATTTTACGGTATCAACATGAATAGTATATTTATCAACTGAGCTATCTGGGAGTAAATATACCGAAACTATTATAAGTTTCATAGCGTAAATAAGTTTAATAGAAATATATACCCGTCTTGCGTTATTAATTAGTGTAGAAAGTTCCTCGAAATTCAATTTTTCATAACAAATACTATGTGAACTAATAAGACTGTTGCAAGCACAATAAATATTAAAATTATTAAAACCAAGTTCAGAATTAAATTAGTCATCTATCAACCAAATTTCAGTAAGCACTAGATAAACAAAATAATAATAGCAAATTTTAACGCTTAGTAGATTTAATTTTAAATGATAATTACATGATACTATGATGTTATTACTAACATTATGAATTTTCTAAAATTTTTTTAATCTTTAGAAAAGACAAACATATCTCTGAGAAATTAAGTATTTTAATTTTTATATTTTTAACATCGAATTCAAGTGAAATATCATTCGATTTTTGGTATTGTTTCAGTAATCTATCACTATTTCTTTTCTACTTTTATTAAACACGAGGTACTCCAGCAGTGTTCGATTCTTCAATTCCACATTCGTTAGAACCTCTTTTGATTTTAAATAAACCTTTGTCACCCCATGATGTGTTCCATGAGTTCATCATCAACCAGTATGGAACACCCTTTTCAACTCCCCATCCGATTAATTTCACAGCATGTCCTCCCATCAATGACGATGAAGATCGAACATAAACTCCTAAACAAAATATATTTTTTAGACTTATCATTCCTTAAATAACTATTAAAAAAATTGTTTAAAATTTAACTGAAATTAAATTAATTTTAACCTGATTTGTAATTAAAGAAATCTTCAAAAACATTAAATGTAGCTTCGATGGGTCCATAAACCATTATGTCCTTTTGAATAATTTCAGGAGAGAGATAGTAAAAGTTTTTAGCTATTTATAAAAAATTTAAATTAGAAATCTTGGAGTTATTAATATTATAAAATACATACTATAAACGTGATCTTTTTCGTAATCAAGGGTGGTGTTACCATAACATTGTTTGATACATTTGTGATTCTGTTCGAGAGGCCTGTTTTGACAAGGATTGTAACCTTTTTCGTCTGTTTGGCATGGTTCAACTTTATATGGTTCACATCCCTGTAAAAAATCAAAATTCACTTCAATATTTTGAGACGAGAATAATTAAAAACTTTTCGATTGTTTTTACCTCTTTGGAATCATAATCACCACCAGTAACAACTCCATGAGTACTAAAGTATTCCCAAGCCCTAATAGGATATCCACCCTCACAACCGTAACCACATTCTTTACAACAAAAACCTAATTCTTCAGCCGATAACATATGATTATATTTTCCTTCAGTAGCGATACACATACGGTCGGCGAATGCACTTGTAGTACTCACAGCCTAAATATATTTTTACATTTTAATTGGATCCAATGAATGAAATAAGTTCTAGTATTGAAAATTAACAGCACAACATTTTAAATTAAACAACTTCAACAATACTTACCCAACAAGTGCCGCACTGACCTTGATCAGGAACATGACCGATAGTTTCACAATGCTTCCACTGTTCTCTGGCATCAAATGTTTCAGGAATACTTGTAATATTTTCATAGGCAGGGTCTTCTGTTTTAATAGGATCATCATCTGGATCATTTTTTTCTCTCCTTTTAGAACCTAACAATTTTTTTAGATGAAGAATTGATGTATCAGCAGGGAAATTTTTACCAGCCTAATAAATAAAAATAAGTTCAATTACATTAAGAAATACAAATCTTACACTATTATTAAATACGGATTATATAGTTAAGATATTAAAAAATATATATTATACAAACTAATTGGTTTATGAATCACTCGATTACTTCTTAAATAAATAAAATATTAGAAAAATATTTTTTTTTCTTTTATTTACATATAATTTATATTCATAAGTTGATAATTACTTCTATGAATAATTCTTTAAATATATAGGGGTGTTAATTTTATTTTTTTAAATGGTAATATACATATTTAAATAGCTCATAAAATAGAAAATAATCTAATTTAAAAAATTACTAATGGATAACAAAATTTGGACCAGTACTTCAGAAGTTATCCATTGACATCTCATATGAAACTGGACGTGATTCAATTCGTGAATCAACGTGAAGCTGAGAAGGTATTAATTTTACTATGATGTGATTATTTTTATTTTGTGACTGTCACTACTTTTCCTCAGCACTCACCGAACTGATTTCTTTCAACGATATATCAAAAGATCACAAATCGTATTAGTTAAAGACATTACCCTCAAAAATTGAAAAATTCGCTCGTTCCCTGTAAATGGGAGAAATCCCCAACAACATTACGATTTTTAATATCGGTAAATTTCAACATTTTTTTTTTCACTTTTTTCTAAAATTTGCCATAATTTATTAAAAAATGAACAATTATTATCAAAATTATTATATTATAATATATAAACTAATATATTATAAATAATTATATTTCCCTGTGGATAGGGGATAAGAATACTTCCACAGCCCCTCTGCCAGTCGTAAGAGGCGACTAATGAGGTTATGTCAGGTTGACAGCCGGCATAAAAATCTTTGTCAAAAAAGTTTGAATACACATTGAAGACAAGGAAGTGTTTTGGAGGGAGATGAATGAGATGATTCAAGGAGTACCTAGCAATGAGGATGTGGTGATAGGTGGAGATATGAATGGACATTTAGGTAATGAGAGGAGAGAATATGAAAGATTACATGGAGGGTATGATTTTAGTGGGTAGAATGAGGCTGGAAAAAGAATAATGAATTTCGCAGTATCGTATGATTTTGCTCTCGTTAACACTTATTTTAGAAAGAGGTAAGAACATGATATAACATATAAGAGTGGGAGGAATAGATCACAGATCGATTATTTTATGTAGAAGAGAGAGAGCGTAAAGCGAGTAAAAGATTGTAAAGTTATACCAGGGGAGAGTGTAACTACACAACATAGACTGTTGGTAATGGAGTAGTGGTGTATCGGAAAAAGAATAAACAAAAATAGAAGAAACACAGGAGGAAAATCGAAGATCCTGTGATGTAAATTGAAAGGGGAAAATGAAAAAGAGTTTGTAAAGATGGTAAAAGAGAGGATAGTGTGGAATGTCAAGGGAGACATAAATAATGTGTGGAATAGATTTGCTAGTTGTGTAAAGAATACTGCAAAGGAAATTGTTGGTAAGAGTAGGAGTATAATAACAGCAAACAAGGAAACCTGGTGATGCTATGAGGACGTTCAAAAAATTATAGAAAGTAAGAAAAAGCAATTCAAAGTATGGCAGAAGAGCAAAAGGAGAGAAGACTTGATGGAGTATAAACGCTTGTGTAAAGAAGCCAGTGTGCAGTACGTAAGGCGAACTTTAAGAGGTATGATGAGTTGTATGATAGGCTAGGAACAAAGGAAGGCGAGAAAGAAATCTATAGATATCATTATATAAGGTGTATAAAAAGTGTTGATAATAAAGTACTCTCGAGTGATGATGATGTGCAAAAAAGGTGGAAAAAGTATTTTGAAAAATTATTGAATGAGGAGTACCCAAAGAAACATTAGAGGATATCTCGTGGAATGAGGGACTAGTAGATTTAATTAGCGAGAAAGATGTATGAGAGGCTGTGGCATCAATGAAAAAGAATAAAACTGTAGGACCAGATGAAATTCCAATAGAAGTATGGAAAATATTAGGCGGTGTTGGCATAAGGTGGTTGAAGGAACTTTTAAATCTTATTAGAAGGGAAAATACCAAATGAATGGAGGAATAGTATGGTAGTGCCGATATTTAAAGGTAAAGGAGACGTACAGGAGTGTGGAAATTATAGAGGCATAAAGCTTACGAGTCATAGTATGAAAATTTGGGATAAGATAATAAATAAGAGAATAAGAAACGAGACATCGGTATCTAAAAATTAGTTTGGATTTATGCCTGGTAAGTCAACAATGGAGCCAGTATTTTGTGTGAGGCAACTAATAGAAAAGTTTAGGGAAAAGAAGAAAAAGCTGTTTATGGTATTTAATAAATATTATTTATAGATTGGTGAATGCGTATGACAGAGTGCCGAGAGAGATTTTAAAGTGGGCATTAATGAGAAAAGAAGTACAGAAAAGGTACAATAATATAATAGAAGATATGTATGATGGCACTTATACCAGGGTAAAAAGCGTAGGAGGAGTATCAGAAGGTTTTCGGGTAAGAGTAGGATTGCACCATGTTTCTGCTTTAAGCCCTTATTTATTCTCTATAGTGATGGATGAAATTACTAGAGAAATACAAGGAAAGGTGCCGTGGTGCATGTTGTTTGTTGACGATAAAGTGTTAATAGGAGAAAATAGGGAGGAATTTAATCAAAGGTTAAAGGTGTGGAGATCAACTCTTGAAGAAAAGGGTTTAAGAATAAGTAGAAGTAAGACAGAGTATATAGAGTACAAGTTTGATAAAGGAGAACACGAGGAAGGTGAAATAAGGAGACCAGTGACAATAGTCGAGGACGTGATTGGACAGGTGGAAAGTTTTAAGTAGTTATGATCAGTTGTGCAAAAGAGCGGTGTTATTGACGAGGATGTAAGATACAGAATTTAGTGCATGTGGTTGAAGTGGAGAGAAGCGTCTGGTCTTACGTGATAAAAGAATTCCAATGAGGCTAAAAGGTAAATTCTACAAGACTGTAGTGAGACAAGCTATGATGTATGGTTCAGAGTGTTGGGCAATTGATAAGAAAGTAAAGCAGAAAATGAGTGTAGTAGAGATGAGAATGCTTAGATGGATGAGTGGAGTGACAAAAAAGATAGAATAAGGAACGAGCATATAAGAGGGAGTATAGGTGAAGCGTCAATCGTGGATAAGATGAGAAAAAATAGACTTGGATGGTTTGGTAATGTAATGAGGAAAGAACAATCGGAAGCTGTAAGAACAGTTATAGAAATGAATTTTGAAGGAAGAAGAGGTAGAGGAAGACCAAAAAATAGATGGAGGGATGCTATTGAATGCGATATGAGNATTTAACTTTATAATGCTATAACTTATTGAAAAGTGTATGGATCAACACATTTTTTTTATGAGAAATAATATTTTTTAATAATCCTTTTTCATTCGACATACTTTATCTTAATCAAGATATTAATAAAGAACTAGCAGATCATGTAGCTTTTGGAATAATACACCAATTTTATANGATGTGAGCGTAGAGGATGTGGGAGATCATGTCAAGTGGAAGTTTAGGATAAGGGTGGCCGACCCCAAGTAGTTGGGATTAAGGCGAGGAAGAAGATGAAGATATGTAAAATAAAAATCTAGATTGTGTTCAATAAATCAAATACTCAATGGAATTTTTATNTAACTTTTTCAACTTAATTTTTGAAAATGTTCCGGAAATACTGCGTCCTTTAAACATATATCAAATTAAAGCTTATTTTATGTACTATAAAATGAAAAAAAAAATTTGTCCCGACACTTTATCTTCTACATTTAAACTGCTGCCGTAGTCAAAAAAACACTATTTTTTGTTAAAATTTTCGATTTTAAATTTTCAACTTAAAAATGCTATAACATTTTGAAAAATGTATATATCAGCACAATTTTTTTTTCTAAATACATTATAAGTATATATTTCATTTGACATACTTTTTATTAAAATTGGACTATTTCCCCTTATATAGGGGACGTTCAAAGCTTGAAATATTGTAAAAAACATAGATCTTTTTCAACTGAACTTTTGAAAATTTTCCAGAAATACTGCGTCCTTTAAACATGCATTAAATCAAAGGTTATGTTATATACTATCAAATGAAAAAAAAAAATTTGTCCCGGCTGTCGATATTTAAAAAAAAATGTAATGTTTGCGATAAAAATTACCTTTTATCGGGATGTTTTTTGTACTTAAAACTGCCATAACTTTTTCAAAAATGAATAAATAAAAATAATTTTTTTTATACTAAAACCTTAGATATTTCCCTTTTATTTGATATCATTTTTTTTTTTTGAAAATCTAACACTTAACCTGCTCATTGGGGGAGATTTAAAATAGCAAATTTTTAACAAAAATTAACTTTTTCAACTTAATTTTTGAAAATTTTCCGGAAATACTGCGTCCTTTAAACATATATCAAATTAAAGCTTATGTCATGTACTATAAAATTAAAAAAAAAAATTTAGCCCGACGACCTATCTTCTATGCCCAAAAGGCAAAAATATGCTATTTTAACAAATTTTTTTTTTTTTTAATTAAACACTAGCTACAGATTTGCATCGAACGTTTTTTATGATAGTGATTTTAATCACTGTCAGATATCATCTATACTGGACCCAACTATGCCACGACCCCACTGTGCCGCCACCCCACTGTGTTGGTTGTTTTTTATTTTAATTTTTTCAAAAAATTAAAGCTTACCTTCCATGTTGATATTTTCCCGTTAAGTTTTTCGATATAGTTGTCGGACAAGAAATGAACTTGTTCAGATTGGTATACACTAAATAGAATAACAGAAATCAAAACTAAAATTCTAACCATTGCTACGTTCAAACCAAAAACACTATCTTCTTCAATCAAGAATATTTGAATGCAATAAAAATATAATGGTAAGCTTTTATAATTACCTGATGAACTCTTCAAATATCAAATTAGAAGTGTTTTAGATAAACAGTTCTTGAATTGAGTGTATATTATAACTATCCTTTTTTAATTTTATGTATTATAATAATGGTTAGACGTTTTGCCATTTACTATTCTTCATTTGATTACTAATTAAAATTTCCCAGTTCATCACCGATAACTTTTAATTGTTCAATATAATAAGATTTATTTAATTTAATGAAGTAAAGTACCATGTTGTTATAATGAGCATAATTAACAATTATAATTCTGTTGACCTTAGTAATGTCGAGTATATAGTTGATCGATGGTTGAACGATAAGGAAACTGTGTAGTAATTAATTCAATAGTAAGATAAAATTCTAATTTATGTATATATATGAAGGATAAATTTCTTTATACTTGAAACATTAAAAATCCTTTGAGAAATATTAATTTAAATAAGTTGGCCTATATTAAATATCTTTATTGTAGAGTCCAATGGTTTAAAACGATAAAGACATGTAGATATGAAAAGAAGATAATAGTGTTACTCTTTGTTAAAATTTAATAATGTAATTAACTATCACTTAAATATGACGATGTGGTATTCTTGAAGTGACCTGTGGCCTGCTTTATGATATTCAGTCGGTGTGATTATCTATCATGATGAAAAATGGTGGATATAAATGTACAGATCTTTTGTTTTATCATTCTGTACTCAGATTGTTAATTCTAACAAAACGGGATATAACGAATTGGCNTTATCATTCTGTACTCAGATTATTAATTCTAACAAAACGGGATAATACGAATTGGTTTACCTTATATTAATCAATACTTGTTAATCTAAAGCAGCTTTAAGCACTGCTAGAGTATGTGTAAAAATGTCAAATTTTTTATCATATTTCAATACACTAATATCCCCGCCGATAAAGAGGATATATCTTTAATAAAGTTTAACACTAGTAACGGTTAATACGTGCCCGTGATTTGTTAAAGGAAGTATGCGAACGCGTAAAATACTTAAAAAGTGGAGGATGACACTCTATGAAGATATCAAACTGAGTTTTGGTTTGAATCCAGAACTCGTGTAAGCGTGGAGTGCGTGCAAGCAGAACTAAGCCTTTTTATATTATTTTTGATTGATCTCATCTTGGGATATTGTCGTCATTGCTTTTAGTGATTTTAGCTTCGATGCGAAGCTGAGAAGGTATTGGTTTTACTATGATGTGTTTTTTTTTTTTTTTTTGTGTCTGTTACCACTTTTTCACAGCTCTCACCGAACGGATTTCTTTCAACGATACGTCAAAAGATCACAAATCGTATCTAGTCGAAGACATTACCCTTCAAAATTGAAAAAATTTCCCTCGTTCACCGTAAATGGGGGAAACCTCCAAAAAAATTACAAATTTAAAAATCGTTAATTTTCGAAATTTTTTCAATTTTTTTTACTAAAAACTGCCGTAACTTTTTCAAAAATGAACATATCAATATAATTTTTTTTTATATAGATGCTTGATGTCTTTACTTATCATTTGGTATATTTTTTTTGTAAATCTGACACTTAACCTGCCCACAGGGGGGGATTTAAAATGACAACTTTTTCACAAAAAATTTACTTTTTCAACATAACTTTTGAAAATGTTCCGGAAGGTCTGACACTTTTATATATATCTTAAATTAAAGCTAATGTAATATACTTTAATTTGAAAAAAAAAAATTTGACCTCTGGACTTTTCTTCACGGCGAAAATGGCTACCGAATGCTATTTTCGTGTGAAAATTCTCGATTTTATTATTCATATTATATTTAACTTTATAATGCTATAACTTATTGAAAAGTTTATGGATCCACACAATTTTTTTATGAGAAATAATATTTTTTAATAAACCCTTTTTCATTCGACATACTTTATCTTAATCGAGATATTAAGGAACCAGCAGATCAAGTAGCTTTTGGAATAAAACACCAATTTTTTTTAAATTAAACACTATCTAAAGATTTGCATCGAAGCCTTTATTTTTGATAGTGATTTTAATCACTGTCAGATATCATTATACTTGATCCAACTATACCACGTCACAACTGTGCCGCGACCCCCCTGTGCTGGGTTTTTTTTTATTTTATTGTATTAAATTTAACATGACATGATTATTATTTTAAGATCAAATGATCAAGTTGAGACGTACATACATATATAATAACTAATGTACAACAGTGTAAGTGTTATAACAGATAAATTAATCATTTATTTGTATACAAGTGATATAAACACAGATTATACATTTTTCATTCGTCATTGTAAGACAAGTAATGGAAGGCACTGGGCATATTACAACAGAAATGACACATTAATCTGACTTATTTTATCAACTAAATTTTATTGGTTTCCCTGCATCAGACAGCCTCCGAACAGAAGAATTCCGTGGCTGGGAATATTATCTCATCATAATTAATATTTATTCAGATTTAATCAATCATTACTTTTTGTTATTTTTTTCTAATTTTGGTTCATATTTTTTTTTGCACTTTAGCATGACATTAATGATAATTATATGTTGTTTAACGTTTTTTTAACACTTTCACGTTTTAGTTATACATTGAATTATACAATAAACAGAAAAGTTTATATATATTTACAATTTGTCAAGTGACAAAAATATCAAAAGTAAAATTTATGCTAATTTACTATTATGATATATTGTTCTCGAAAAAAAAACACATAATTTGTTAAAAATTTATATTTCTTTATTTAAATTGTTATAACTTTTTTATAAACCAAATTACATATTTTTTTGAGAAAATGTATGAATAAGATTCTTTCTTGTTTATAGATAGATAGATTGTTTGTGGATAGACAAACAAATTTAAACATAAACATTTAATTTATAAACTATGGAACATAACATATGGTTCATAAACTAATAAATTTCGTTTCCTCTCAAGCTGAAAATTATTAAATTATCTTAACATTTCTTTTGTTTTACACATCATCATTTGCACACGACAATTATTTATTTTATAATCTTAAATAAAATTTTTATCCTCTGTAGTAATATCATTATTGTTTTTTTTAATTGTAATTTGTTTATTATTTAAATTACACTTTCAACATTTATTTTCTTAAATACTGTTTTTTTAAGAGTTTTAAAATAAATTAAGTAGTTTCACTATGAATTGATTGGTATTTAAAATCTTTAAAATATTGTAGAAGATAAAATAAAAAATTTTAGTTGTTCAATATTGATAAAAGTACATTAAGATTCAATAATTTTTAAGTACACTTCATATAAACTGATCACATGTCAAGGTTAAAGTTCTAAGCCGCCAATTAACAATTTATTTCAGATATCTTTTTTACTATAATATCGTAATTGAATCATGAAAATATAAATTAAAAGTATGTATTATAATTTTTGAATTACAAATAATTACAAGTATAAAGTATCTTCTTCGTCTGTAAAATATCTTGGTTTAACCCTAGACCGCCGATTTACCTGGGCTCATCATACTCGTGCAAAAAGACTCCAATTAAACCTTAGAATCCGTATGCTTAGAACTTTACTAATTAATAACAAACATGCTAACTTAAATATGAAACTTCTAGTGTATAAATCCCTTATTAAACCCATTTGGACCTATGGTCTACAACTATGGGGAAATGCTAAAAAATCTAATATAAATCGTATTCAGGCATTTCAAAATATTTCTTTAAGAAAATTAACTAACTCCCCTCCATACGCATCAAATTATACCCTCCATTCTGATTTAAAAATTAAAACTGTTAAAGAAGAAGCAATAACTTATTATAAAAGATTCCACACTCGACTAGCCTCCCACTCCAATCCCCTAATAAAAGGTCTTTCAACTAATGCTAAAACTATTCCTCCGAGACGCTTAAAGCGCAACTGGTGTAGAGATCTATTAACATAACTTTAGTTAAAAGTTTTTTTATTAAAAAATAAAAAAACAATCACTTAAATGTGTCATCGATGGGTGGCTTCTTTTATCAAGTATTCAATGTTATAATTATTTTAGCTAATACTCTTATTGTACCTATAGGGAACAGATTGTGTATATATTAATAAAGGAAAAAAAACTATTTATTTTAAAATGATGGTAATGATAACTTATAGCGTCTACCAATATAAATAGGGTCTAATTTTATGCCATTATTTAGATTAGTAAATAAGATTTTTTAAACTTTCTTTTAACTTTGATTTGCAGCTGCGTAGATATTGATTGGTTTTATTCTACTGGGTTTTTTCTTGGTCAGTATATACGATTAATTCACTCCTACTGAACCAAATTTGATTAACAATACGTCAAAAGATCACAAAATATATCTTTTTAAAGCAACCAGTGCCATAATTTTGAAATCTCCGTTATAAAGAAATCTAAACCAAAAAATTACAGTTGTTATTTAAGATTCGATGTTGTAATTTTAGTTTTTATTTTATATGAAAATAATAACATTTTGAAAACTGGACGGATTATTGCAAAGTTTTTAATGATAATACTTTAGACATTTTCATTTATGACCTCATACTATTTTTGAAAATTTAAACATTAACTATAGTTTTGTAGGGGCTTAAAACTCAACATTTTTTTTCAATAATGTTCCAAAAAGTCTGCTTTCTTTAAACTTACATTAAGTTAAAATTAATACTATGTAAATTAATATTATAAAAAAAAACTATTTGAAAACTTAAATTATATATCTAAGTAAATTTATGGATCTTATTTTTATCATTTTTGGAATAATAAACATTCGATTCTTGACCCCGAAATTTTAGTATACAGAAGAATAATGAAAAAAATACGTAATGTAAGGCGGATAAGATGCCGAGGATAAGTTCCTATGATTTTTCCTGAATTCTGTGTGTAGATTTAAAATCTAAAGTTTGCAAGAGAACTACTTAAATATCTAGCCTTAAAGTACAATTTTTTTCAATTGTCTCTTATTTCTTCTAAGGAGCAAAATATGATTTTTCTTGAAAATGAATATAAAATTTGTAACCAATACTATTGTAAAAGAACTGAGTCTCTTATGAATTAATAAATATTAAATACTTATAGAATATTTAAAAGAGAAACTTTAATTATTTTCTTTAGCATACTAATAATTAAAGTTTTGATGTTCAAAATTACATCAATCATGCTAAATATGAATTTCTAATCACAACTAAAATTAACGTGTATTAGTACTAATGAGAAACAAAGTGTACTGTAAGAGGCATTTATGCTATTAAGGATGTGTTGCTATATGTGATTTATTCTGAATAATATTGAATTCGTCATCTTACTCCATCTTACTCTAATTTTAATAACAGCTTGCTCAAGATTTGTATCAATTTCTGAGATACTAGATGGAGTCATAACTAGTGTACAGCTTTAGTTATAATGCCGATTATACGCAATACATTTTAATTAAACAAAAAAAACTTGTTTTGGTTCCACGGGAAAAAGGTTGACTAAAAAAGGTACAGTAAAAAAGTATCGTGAGAAATGACAGGGAAGACAGGTGCTACTTGACACACTTTTTATATTTTTGCTTTCGTGTCAATCATTTTCCAAGAATTAATTACTTTAATTGAATTTACTTTATTAAGTCAATGGATGAAAATGATAAAAATAAATTTTGTTTCAATTTACCAATTTGCTGTGATAAATTGACGCATACATCAAGGCAAGTTTAAACATTACTTAATATATCTCTACTTATGACCTCTAAATTTATTTATGCGTCACATTTTACTTAAATGAATAATAACTGTCAGTGTATTGGTTGATTAGTTAATGTATTAAATATTTTCTCACTATTTTGAAAAACCAAAAAATTTAATATTTGGACATATAAAATTATATTGACATTTATGGATGATGTCTTAAGTTTCATTATTTAAATTAACTTATATTTAAGATAAAGTTTTATTATCAGGTTTTGTATTTAAATCTAAACTAAGCCTAAGGTTTAGGTTTTGTTTCTATACCCAATAGAACAATTATCCGATATCAAGTTTTTCAATTAGATATTTTACGTTTTTAAACTTTTTAAGAATAATCTTTTTTATGATATATTATTATTAAAGATGTAAAAAAATATATATTTTAACTTTATTTCTAGATATAAGAATTTACATTAGGAGTTAAATTACATAAAGTCAATATTTACCAAGTATAACTGTAAAGACTTTTTTTAGTTATCGAAGTTACTTATAAAAAAAAAAATTTTTCTCTAGCATATTTACCAAAGTAAATAAAATTAAGTAGTCTGCTCTAAATTAAGTTATAAATACGGCCTCTACATTATCTATAATAAAGTGTGAAATAAAATTTCTTGGTTTTTGATATTTAATCGATATATGGTAAAAGGTACTAATAAGGTATTGCATAACAAATTAAATAATAAATTCTATTATCTAAAATTCATAATGACTTTTGTATGCGTTCATATTCGATAACTCGGGAAGGTATCCACTGATTAGTCAAGGTCGTTATTTGTGTACAATACGCTATTGTGATTATGCGACAACGTTAAACTAAATCATATCTATATAAGTTAAGAGTGATATCATAGTTTTAAGAATAGATAACTTAAAATTCATCTACATTAAATATAGACAGTCGAATAAATTTTATTTGATAAAAATTTTATGATAATTTGACCCTTTACCTGCCTACAAGGGGTGGATTGAAAGTTAAATTTTAAGTTTTAAAAATGTTTCTTTAATACTGCGTCCTTAAAACATATGTCAAATTAAAACTTATGTTACGTACTATAAATTAAAAAAAATAAGTTTGTCCCGACAACTTATCTTCTACGTGCAAATGGCTGCCGTAGTTAAAAGACATGCTATTTTTATGTTCAAAGATTATTTTTTTGTTTATTTTAATATACCTTATAAGGGTTGACTATGGTAATGAGTCCGTCAATAAATATAAAATTTACTGGAATCTAACTTATATTAGATATAAATTTATATTTATTTTGATTATTTTGCTTCTTCAAAGTAAAAAAAAGCTTTTTTGAAAACTTGAAAATTTGTATAAAAAGTAGAACTTTTTTAACTTAACTTTTGATAATGTTCTGGGAATACTGCTTCTTTTAAATATATGTATAAAATAAAGATTATTTTAAGTACTAGAGGTTAAAAAAAATTTTCCCAGTGACCTATTTTCTATATACAAATGGCAGTCGAAGTAGAGTTATTTTTGCTTTTGGAATAATTCACCAATTTCTTAAAATTAAACACTATCCACAGATTTGCATCGAAGCGTTTCTTATGATAGTGATTTTAATCACTGTCAGATATCATCTAAACTTGTCCCAACTATGCCACGTCCATAATGTGCCACAACATCACTGTGCTACCGTTTATTTAACTTACAGTATGTAATATATATTTTAATTGAACATAGGTTTGAAGCTCGCAGTATATTTCAAACATACATTACTTCACAACAAAAAAAGTTCTTGTTTCATTAGATAGATTTTAATAAACTCTTGAGATACTACTAAAACTAGGCCATCATAATAATATTTCATATTATTATTTACATTATACATCGAATTCCATTTTACAGTCTTATGAAATTGTATTTCAGATAACTTCACCGTTAAAAAAGGAGTCATCGCACACTCTTTGGTAATATTATTGAACAAAAAAATTAAATCCAACAATTTTGAGGTGATTAAAAATGATAGTCACAAAAGTGACTCAAAAATTGATTTCGGGGAAGATGGTGACAGTGTGAAAAATGATGAAACGACTGATTTGAAATTCTATTTAAGTAAGAATAATTAATAAAAAAAATTACAATTTGGACAAATAAAAAAATCGCTCTTCCTTCAAAAACAAGCTATAAACAAGTAATATTATAAAAACTCTTCCAGGTCTTAGATGTCAAGCTCGTCACTGCAATATACGTCTAGAATGTATTTCGTAAATTATATAATTATATATGTTTTTCGCGAAATGGAAAATATATTATTATTATAGATTATTTTTAATTAAAGTTATTAAAATACGGTATTTTATTTTTTTGTTGTATAATATCGTATAATACTGTATAATACCGTATAAATCCTTGTGGCACCTTAAAATTTGAGAATAAATAAACTTTAGAGTGATTATTTTTCATAAAACTCAATAAAACTACTGAAAAATTACTGAAAAAGCCTTTAGCAAAATTGATGACAACAAAATGTTCAGGGAGTAATTAGTTAAAGTATTGAACTAAGATATTTCTCTATCCAGAATTCCTCTATAGAGGATGATTTAGTATCAACTAAGTACCAACTATAGTCAATTTGCAAACAGAAACCACCCATGATGTTAAAGGTCTGAGAACTCTGTTTTTTTAAACAAGTATAAATACACAATTGGAATTTTACCACATTAAAAACTTAAAATTTTTAATAACATAATAAAAAAAATAATAAAACTCACTTTTTCTTAACAAAAAAAAATCCTATCCTTTAAATAAACTATTAAAAAATTAAAATATGGCATCTTACTATTAATCTTAAAATCGATAATTGTATTAACATTTGTTACCTTAAAAAAAAATAACTTAAGCACCTTATCGATTATAAATATTAGTATCACAGAGTATTAAGAATTAATTTTTATAAAGTATGAAATATTTTATAATCTTAATTTGTATATGTCATGACATCATCAAATAGTTCATCTATTTCATTCTCGTTTTTGCTTTGATGGACGACCCATCTTAATTCGTAATTTGCAAATAATACTTTAAACTTAAACAATTTAAATCACAAAATAAAATACTTTTACCACAGAATAGATTCACCTGTTCTGTGCTTTTATTTTCTTCCATTTGAACCGGCATGCGTTGGCGCTTAAAATGTGACAAGATTATTGTGTGGTAATACTAAAAACATACTGAGACCACTGTTATACCGTACACAAGTCCATTGCTTTTGTTTGTTATGATAACCATGTTTCCCTGGCGGATCTGACAACTAATTATGTTTTAAAAATATATCTGTTAATCTACAATAATAATCACGATTATAGATAGATTTAAATCTAATAATGCAATCCATCTATAACATTAATTACAATTGGGTACATCAATTAAAATCAAATTCAAAAGAATATAAATGTTGATAAAGCTTTATTTTTTTTTTTTGATACAGCCGGTATAAAATAATTTCATACGCGTGTATCATACCGTATAATACACATGTATAATACCGACTCACATCTCTATTTTTAATAGACTTAGATGTTATGGTCATTTTATATAGAAAGAGGAATCGGAAGCTGTAAGAATAGTTATAGAAATGAATGTTGCAGAAAGAAGAAGTAGAGGAAGACCAAAAAAAGATGAAGGTATGTTATTGAATGCAATATGAGGACGGCTGATGTAAGCGTAGATTATGTGGATGATCTGAAGTGAATGTTTATGATAAGGGTTGCCCACCACAAGTAGTTGAAATTAAGGCGAAAAAAAAAAGAAAAAAGATACAAATACTTATATATAAAAAAAAAATTGATAATTATAATAAACTAACAAATAACTCAGAAATGTATGCAGTTTTAGTTGTTTATTTCTTATTTGGTGTGAAAAGAAAAAAATCCTGTGGATTTTTCAGAAAAATAATCTTTCTTGCGCGAAGACACAACTATTGATGAAATACTAGTAGCCTTCAGGGGATGCTGTTTTTTTATTCAATATATGTCACAAAAACCTGCTAAGTACAGTTTGAAAATTTATGCCTTGTGTGATTGATACTAAAAACTTTAGTATCCATGATCACAAAATTAAAAGGAAAACTTTGGCAATCCATTATGCACAACACTGACACACTTGATAAAGTCTCAAAAAAACCTTCTCAGATTATGGCTTTACGAAGGATAAGGTAAATATAATTTATATTTATAATTTATATATTTCACAATTAGTTCTTCTAGAATAACACAAAGTAGGCCCATAAATATATTTTTTCGACTACTTGACCTAGAAGGAATAAATTTAAAATGTATTTTTCAATTTAACGTTCATCAAATCAAAAATAATATTAGAAGACAAATACTGTATGAACTGTTTTTTGTATTGATGAATAAAAACTTGAAGGAGCCATCTATAATCAATAATCAGCCAAAAGATTTGAAGGTGTTTTAGAGAACTTATAAAGAGCAAAGTACATATTAATGATAAGCCAGCTCAATCTCTCAGAAGGGTATGTGCAACATTTATGGATCTAAAAACAACAAAACCTGATTGAAATGCAATAATTATGAAAAACAATGTGAATAAAAAACAATAATTTTTCATGCAATACATACCAGGCATTTCATAAAATTTATTTTATAAAAGTTAATTTTTTTTTTTTTTTTAAAGTTTAATTTATATTATTGTTAATGCAAGTTAACTTTTGAAATTAAAAATTAATGTTAACTTATTTAGGTGAAATTAACTTTATTTTTTAGTTATTTTAAAGGAAAAGGTTTAGTTTAAAGTTAACTTTATTATAATTAAAGTGTACTTTTTTAAGTGAACCTTATTTTTAAACTTAACTTTATATTTTTAAATTTACTTGTATTTTAACTTAACTTTATTAAATTTAAAATTAACTTTTATTTTAAGCTCTTTTTAAGAAAAGTTATTTTTAATAGTAAAATAAAAGTTATTTTATATTATTAAGAGATAACATTTATTTTTTAAAGATTTCCTATATTTTAAATAACAACTTTTGTTTTAAAAAGTTAAATTTCTAAATATTAAAGGCATATTTTTAAAGAAAACTATGTAAATTTCTAAGTAAATTTTTAAATATCAAAGAGTATTATTATTTTTAAGAAAATTTTACCAATACTCAATTGTAAATTGTATATATATAGATTACTAGTTTTATGATTTATAAGTATATACATGAATATATTGTAACGGTTTGCCCCTATTATGGGCTTATCAATTATCAATTGCCTTGGGAAATAAGAGATAATTGTTGTCGTAGCTTGTCATCGTCATCTATTAAAGACAATGCCTTGTCATTGAAGCCACTTCTCCCTACTTAACGCCAAATTCTTCAGTGAAACAAAGTTGCACAGTTCATGAGTTTAAGAGGACGTTCTAGTAAAAACGATACGCATACAACGCTCCATAGATGGCGTTGTGTTCCATATCGGCGGCAAGGTCACACCGTCAGCCCCCGCTACCACACTCTAGCAACCATCTCTTGTGAATCGTTGTAAACTGGTTCAGTGTTGTTGCAACCATAGTAAAATGTGTTATAAGTATACACTATCATAGTCCGCGTTTTTATCGTATTACGCGCATATGCATCGCCTTGTGTTTTTCTGCATTCGCATACGATCAGTAAAACACGATTACTGTCGAATGCACTTAAAAAATACGCTTTTTTCGAATTGATAATTCTGATATGATATCAATGATAGTGTCGTAACTCAAAAATGAAAATATAATACAAAATAATATAATAAAATACTATATAAAAAAAGGGGTCAGATGATTATTATTGTTGGTGCAAAAAAATGTGTAAGTGAGAGTTACTTTTGATTCGGGGTGTAATTCGAGGGTCATAAAATAACGATGTAAAAAATCTTACCTGGTAAATTCTCTGGTTCTTATAATTATCCTTAGTGATGATATCGGTGAAAATAATAAATAAAGTACACAAGTTCAGATTTTCAGTTCACAAATTAACACATAAAATTTCGACAATGACGATCACGACGTTCGCACAACTTAATATGGACCACGAAAAGAACAGCCCAATACGGAGCATGAAATGAACAGCCCTGAGCAAGGGTTTGCTCGGGCTTTTTATAATATATTTTTACCCCCAAAAAATCGTCACTGTCGAATTTTTAGTATAATTGTTTATTGATAAGTAAGTATGAAAAACACAGAGATCAATACAGATGAATAGAACATAAATTAGTTTGACATTTACATATATAACATTAACATGTTTTTTACAAGCGAGACGAAAATTGATACAATGCATTTAACTATTAATAGTAGAATAACAAAGATGACAAAAATAATATATAGATTTTATTTTGGCGAGGAAGGATTTTTAAAGTAATTATTAATTGATTTATGATCGAACCGCATACACTACAATGTAGTTAAACAGTGTGAGTCTTTTGATTATTTCTCTTAAATGTCTATCTAAGTTTTTGTTCGAAAAGGATCATGTCCTTGTAAGAATATAATGTATAATGAAACAAGTTAAAATGTACCACTTCTATGGATAGAAGTGGTGACTATTTGAAATGAAAAAATATATACTAATAAAAACTAAAAAAGATAATATTGTTAAGTACATGAACAGGGTATTTTAGTGTTGTCTCGTATAAATAATAGTGACGATTATATTACGACAATAGATATAATTTTCGAAACAACGCCACATTCTATCTGTAAACGATGTTGTGTGCCGAGAACTACAATAGACTTTTACTAACTGTATCTTCGCGCATTTAAGGAATAATTTCAGTTACTCTTTTTCCTAATTTAAAAGTCACAGGAATGAACTATGCTCACATTAGTTTACCGAACCTGAACTATAGTAATTACGTGTATATTCATGGACATTTTGTACTTACGCAATCTGATTGAGAAAAAAGGGACCACCGAGATTTTTATTTCGTTAACCCACTTGCACTGCACCTAACCTCAAGGTCCTCCAGGACCTTTAATTTTCTTTTTCTTTTTTGCTCATCAATTTTTTCACGGAAAACTCAGTGTCATAATAGCGTAAATAAAATATCTTACATAGTTGGTAAAAAGGAAAATTACCAACTCAAAAAAGACCATCAGTATTATTTTCAAATACAGGGACAACTGCACATAACTGATCGTCAAAAATGTTTATTTTATATTTACACTCTAAAATGGATTTACTTAAAAATTGTTAAACGCAACGACCAGTTTTGGAGTACAAAAATGGAATCTTTTCAGGTTTGACCTAAATGCTAAAATAGGAAAGGAAAGAATATACTATGACGTAACAGGAATACACAGCCTCCATGAACACTCGAATAATAATGGTTCAAGACTAGCAAATTTTGCATTAGGAAAAGGTTAAATAATTAAAAGCACAATGTTACCACGCAAAGATATATACAAATATACTTGGGTGTCACCGGATGGGAGGCACAAGAACCAGATTGACCATGTACTGGTCAACAAAAGGTTTAAAAATGGTATAACTAATGTGAGAACATTACGAGGCGCCGACGCAGACTCCGACCATCTTCTGTTAGGTATCTGGATAAGAGTAAAATTCAAGAAGCAAAGCATGCACAAATTAAATACAATAGAGAGGTATGATATTGAGAAGTTAAAAGACGTTGACATATATAAAAATTACAGCAAAAAAATCAGCGAAAATCTTAAAGAACAACAAATAATAAATACAGACGATGTGAATGATGTGTGGGGCAAAATTAGAGGTGCTGTACAACAAACCGCAAAAATAACCTTAGGGATAAGAAAAAAGAGAAAGAAACCATGGTTCAATAAAATTTGTGAAGACGCAGTACAAAGGAGAAAGAGAGC